ATTCTGAATCACAATTTTAAAACATAACATTTTTTTAAATTATAGAGAATGATTCCACTGAAAAATTAAAACAAATCAGTTCACCCAGTGGCAGGTTATAACATCAATAAACAAAAGTCCATTGCTTTCATATATGTAAACAATAATCCAGAATAGAAGGAAATTAAGAAAATCACCCCATTTATAATCACACACACACACACACAAATTAAACACCTACAAATAATCCAAACAAAGAAGGTGAAGAACTTATACAAAGAAACTATAAGAAATAGTAAAAAGAAATAGAGAACACACAAAATGGAAAGATATAAACTGCTATTCAAAGCAATATAGATTCAATGCAATCCTTATCAAATTTTCAAAAGCATTGTTCAAATAAATAGAACTAACATTAGTGAAATCCACATAGAACCACAAAAGACACCAAATAGCTAAAGCAATCCTGACCAAAAAAAAAAGAAAGAAAGAATGAAGGAATCACACTTCCAGACTTCAAATCATACTACAAAGTCTTAATAGTTGAAAAGGCATGGTACTGGGACAAAAACAGACACACATACCAATAGAATAGAAATGAGACCCCATAAATAAACATACATTAATACGAACAGTTAATCTTTGACAAGGAGCTAAGTATTAACTGGAACAAAGGAAACCTCTTCAATAAATGGTGATGTGAAAATTGGACAGCCATACCCACAACTGGACAGCAATCCCACTCCTAGGTATCTACCCAAACACCATAAAAGCACTAATTGAAAGGCAAATATGCACTACCATGTTCTCAGCAACTCTATTTACAATAGCATAAATATGGAAATAATGTAATTGCCCCCCAAAAGATGAGTAGATAAATAATATGTGGTATTTACACACAATGGAATATTCACACTCAATGATCAAAAATACAAACTAATGGCAACATGGATAGAAATGTAAGGGATTATAATGGTGTCACTTGTAAGTGGAATGCAGAAAACCCAAAGTATCAGACAAAACCAAACTTACTAAGCTTGAAAGCTGATATAGAAGTGAGAAATCCAGAGGGATTCCAGAAGAGGAGGTGCAAGAAAAAAGTAGGGAGGGAACATAATGGACTATTGTGGCAGACTATGGATGCTTTGGTGGGGGGTGCACTCTGGTTATAATGCACAAAGGGAGGTCTTCTACTCCTCAAACACAGTGATAATAAATACAATAAAAATAAAGTGATGGCATATAGGCAAAGGACATAGGCTTGGTTAGAGCTGTGTGACATTTCACCTGTACATAAATATAAGCTATAAAAAAATTAACAGAATTGGAGGAGCTTAAAGAAATTTAGTAACAGTCTAATAGCACTTAAAATATCCTACTATGATGATTATTTGTGATGCTATAATTTTTGTTCCTCAAATATTCAATTTATACATAGAATATACTGCATATATCATGTATATAATTATACAGATATTTTATATTGAAAAATTAAATGCACTTGTAAATAAGCAAATAATATAAGTATTTAAACATTGTCAGGGATGGACTGTCCAGAAGTTAACTCCAATTTGTCCTACGGTTTTATCACAATTGCCTCCAGGAAAATATAATTTTATCTAGTCTTTTATCTGTGAAGACCTGGGCTATTTACTTAAGTTATTCTTCTGAACACATCCTCAAACATTTGTAGATGGATATTAAGGTCAAACACAGCATTAAACTACTTGGCCAATTTTCTGAATTCAGCAAGTCAGTTTAAGGGTATAGTCTAGTAAAATGCACTGAACTATTTGAACAAAGTTACTCTTCGGTCTGGTTCAGACACTTTAAAAGTGAATAAAAAATCAAGTTTTCCACTAAAATAAATTAAGTTTATTTTGAAATGAATTATTTGTGAGTCCCATTTTAAAAAGTCTTTACATAATTTATGTCAACCATCATTGAGGCTAGCTTAATGTTTTCCTATCTCTTTCAAATATAACTATCCATACTGAATTGTTAATGATAAATAAGGAAATTTAAGATAAAAAGTACTTTACATCTTTTAAATAAGCATTTGATAGTCTGATTTATGTCGTGTTTTTCAACATAATTATTCACGGGAGGTCTCCCTGGTGGCATAGAGGTTAAGTCTCAGCATGGTCATGCTATCACTGCTGTGGCCTGAGGTCTATCTCAAGCTGGAGAGTTAACCCACATGGCACAACAGACTTCCCCTGTCCAGCCTGCTGCTCCTCTTAGCAGTGTATTACAGTAGATCCACCTGTTCTGCTCCCCACTCTGTTTCTGGTGAAACCTCTCACACCCCTCCCCCCACATCTTTGGCTCACACCCAGTTATTCTACACAAAAAAAATTTAAAAAGTAATTAAAAATATATTCTCAGGAAGTCAACAATTGAGTCATTAAAGATTACCTGCAAATGTTCCCAGTGAACCTGACATACACTTTATGATTTTTTCTAGGAATTTTTGATGATAGCTGCATTTTTTTTGATAATAGCATAATCTCTGGTGCCATATAAAAATAAAATAGAGGGCCTCCCTGGTGGCGCAAAGGATTAAGACCAAGCCACTGCAGCATGAGTTTGATCCCCGGCCAGGGAGCTACCCACATGGCATAACAGACCTCTCCTGTCTCATCCGCTGCTCCCCTAAGCAGTGTATTTCAGCACATCTGACTGTTCTGTTCCCCACCCTGTCTCTAGTGAATCCTCTTACCTCCCACATCTCTGGACTGTAACCCAGCTTTTGTATGCATAAAATACATAAATCTTTTAAAAAAATAGAAAATTGGTTATTTCACTAAGATAGTTTCATAGACTATTTATAAAACCTTGAAATAAAAAAATAATATCCACAATGGTATAGTATTTTCTGTATTTTTTATATTTAGCAATATTTTGCAGCCTGAAGAGTACCTTTATTCTTTCTTTCATTTTGATGTAATATGTGCTGTGATTCCATCCTCTGTATAGGTTTTCTTTTCTGAGGTAATATTGATTTATAATAGCATAAATTTCAAGTGTACTCTTTATATTTTCATCTCACATACTTCATTATAATCACGTGCAAGAATTTAGTTTCCATCCAATGCCATACAATTGGCCCATTTACCCATTTTACCACCCCCACCCCTTCCCTTCTGGTAACCACTATTTCATTGTTGAATCTAGGGGTTGACCTTGTTTTGTTTTTTCATTTGTTCTGTCTCTTTATCACATATCAGTAAAATTTTATTGTATTTTTTTCTTCCATCTGACGTTTCCCTTAGCATAATCCCAAATGACCTTAACATAAGGCCCACCCATGTTGTCACCCATGGTATAATTTTCACTTTTTTATAGTTGAGTAATATTTCAATGTGCACACGATTTGAATCTTTATTTTTTTTAGTTAAAGACAACTATTCAAGTACTTAATATGCTGATTCTTAAAAGAAGAAATACCACAAATATTTTAAACGGCTAGTCAATGAAGATATTTCATTCACAATTCTTACCTAAATCATGCAAGACTGATTAAATTTATCTATGTTGTGACAATTGAAACTCAATATTTTTAAATTTGAATTAGTGCATACATGGCTTTCCAGACTACAGGAAAATATGATACATAAGTATCATATTTACCCATTTGTCACCATATGTCACAATTTACCCACTTGTCACAATATGGTTCATAAAACAAAATAATAAAAACAATTGTAGAAAATTATTATCTCAGTATCCAAGATGCTCAGTTCTTTAGAAGAATATGCTTACTGTATGTCTTTAAAATATAAATGTGAGCAGTCAAGGAAACTATTTTCCAAAATAAATGTGAAATACTGAAAGACAATAAATTATAAATGTCTATATGCAAACAAACAAAACATATACAAGTATGGCCACTACTATCTCCAAACTTTTCTGACCTTTGGAATACACAAAGTAATATTTGATGTTTCAGTCATTTTATGGGGTCCAATAATGAATGTAATATGCACTTATTTTTGGTTTTGGTGAGACATTTTAAAATCATATGTGAACATAAGAAACTAGTTACTGAGCTATAAAAGGAACATTCTGACAATCTTATTTTGGTTACTCTATTTTAGACTTAATTGAAGTAATACAGCAAGGAGAAAACAGCAGAGTTAGTAAATATGAAAATATGAAGCTAATGTTACTATACTAATAATGCAATATAACCTATTATAAGTGGCACACTATTTTAATTAACTGATTTTATTGAATGCAGAGAAAGTCACTATGTCTAAAAGGACAACTTCTACTTATATAGAAGTATGTTCTAGGGCATATTTTGTTAACTTAAAGATTTTCTAAAATCTTAGACTATATCTTCTCTTAGTGCCAAGAGATTTAAAGAACTATATAGAAGTATGGCAATCTTGTCACTAAATATACTGATTTTTGTTACTTCCATTTTAGGTATGTTCAACTATATAGAGCATAGCTTACAGGCAATCACATATAAGTTGAAAGCTTCAACATCATTTTTCATACATTATTGTAATTTTCAAATGAGTATTTTCTATGTGGCTGAAAAATGAACATTATAATAATATATAGCAGTATAAATTGCTGGGATCCATAATAAATATTTTTAAAGGGTCAAAGGATTGTACTGGCAATTGGCTATTATTATGCTGGAACAACAGGCACATAGTTTTTCAAGGCAAAGTGTAAGAGCTTTCTATGCAGGCAAGCAAATAATCTGTCAAAGAGCATGTTTGCTCTGTGGTTGGCAAGATAAAGCAAAGAAAAAAAACTTCATGAAGCAAAACCTGTTAGATTTGTGTATACGCAATATCTTTACTAGTGACATATTTTGAGCTGCCAGGAATTAAATAGTTCATATTTCTCATCATATGCATGCACAGTGAATTCCTACTATGGTATGGGTATTCAGACCCATGCAGTTCTGCAGCTAAAGTAATCTGAGTTAACTGAAGTTCTAAGATATCCTAAAACACGGGGATTACTAATACATAAAATTATATAATATGTAAACTCACCCTTCCAATCTGACATCCGGCAGACTTCTGTTAAGGGCAATCAAATCACTGGCCATAAGATTAAACTGATTGATTTTAAATAGTTCTTTCATTTTCTCCTGGTCATCTTTAGGAATCAGCACAGCCTTTCCCATTTCTCCTGGTCCTTCTTGGTTTCTTGAAATAACAGCTGTAGAACACACACAAATACACACATACATGCAAACACATAGATAATGAACTGAATAAATGTATTTATCAGATTTGATTCTAAAGTGTATTATTTATAGACTGACTTAATAATATAATCAAGACTTTATTACTTATAGTCCATCTGTTACATTAAAAAATAACTTGTCTTAATTCATTAATTCAATATTGTATCTTATCTTTCAAGTTTAGACATATATTATCTGGCAAATCATTAAAACCATAGCCAAGCAATACAAAACACCAAAGCTTAAAACTTCTATCATACTTTTAAATATGCTAATTAGAGAGGAGTGAAATTGAGCACTGAGCAGACCAAGTCATGTATAATAGCTGTTGAAAACATACCAAGAGTAATTTATTTTCACATCTAATTAAATGCTTTGATATTCATATATCTACTGCTACTGCATTTTAAAAAAGCAAGCAAGGTTGATAATCAGTTATTGCCATTACATTTTAATGCATTTGTCAAAGCATTTTCCAATAAGGAAAAAGAACTTAAATGGTGATGACCTATAATTTCAAATTCAAGTTGAATTTAAACTATCACTGAAGCTAACAAGAGAGAGAGAGAAAGACTATATATAATATAGTTCCAGTTCTATGGCTGAAATTTCACAGCAATATTTTGAGCTCAAATGTTTATTAAAAGAATGAAGATTTGATATACAAGTTAACGTTCTGACCATTTTCTGAAGTTATCAGTACACGGATGCCCATTTTAGCTCTAAAATACATGCGTCAATGTATATGCAGGTGCAGATGCATGTATGTACTCATAGGCACATTAATATGCAATAAAAACACACAGCTTTAGTCAATTGCAACTTAACCTTAACTCACTCTTCATAAGGATATTAAGTTTGGTTAAAGTGAAAGGAATGTATTTCTGGTGTTGCCTTTTCCAATGTTATATTATAGCTCCTAACACATTGATAATATTAGGTATAATTTCCACATACTTTAAAAGACAAATATTTTAATACAGCTTACCTTTAAATAATGTCAAAAATTTAAAAATTTTAATTCATGTGAAAATAAATCGCTATGTATTTCATAAAAATGCAAATTCTAAAATATATAAAAATATGCTCAAAACTAGGATAAACACAATGAAGAACCTCTTTTGAGTTGAACTTCATAGTTATAACACATCACATCTGGTATTGATAGTATTTATATAGAATTGATAATCTATGTTGATTATTCTCTGAAAATGTATGCTGACTTTGGAATAACATGAGTCAAACTTAGAATTGTATCCTAAGGACCGTTAGATATAGATATCAGGAAGGTGATTTACCTGGAAATCCTCTCAAATGCAGAAAAATGTAGAAAAACTGGGAAAATTTTAGTACATCAAACTATCTAAAAAAAGTTTCTTTTGCATCTGGATTGTCCAATGTTCTCAAAACCATTTGTTGAAAAGACTTTACTTTCTGCAATGTATACTCTTGACTCATATCATAGATTAAATGCCCATTTAACATGAGATTACTTATTCTGTGCTCTCAATTCTATTGCATTGTTCTGCGTCTACTTTATTCCAATAACATACTTTTTTGATTAGTATATGATTATTTTAGCTTCATAGTTTAGTTTGAAATCTGGGGTTGTGATACCTCTACACTTCCACTATTTTTGGTCAGGATTCCTTTGTATATTTGGAGTCTCTTGTGTTCCATATAACTTTTAACAATATTTGTTCTATTTCTTTGAAGAATGTCATTAAAACTTTTATGGGGATTGCATTGAATCTATATATTGCTTTGGGTAAGATAGTGGTGGAGAAAAAGGAACCTTTGTTATAATGTTGGTACAAATGTAGACTAGTCCAGCCCCTATGGAAAATAGCATGGACATTTCTCTAATATTAAAAGCACATCTACCACATGATCCAGCAATTACACCCTGAGGAATCTAGTTCAAGAATGCAATAATATTAATTCAAAGTAATATATGCATTCCTATGTTCACCAGCACTATCTACAAAAGCCTCATATGGACAACCTAAGTGCCCAGTGACAGATAAGTAGATTAAGAAGATGTGGTGTATATGTATGATGGAATACTACTCAGCTAAAAAAAAGATAAAATTGCATTTGTGACAACGGAACTGGAGGGGGTCATGTTTAGCAAAAATGTGAAGAGAAATAAGACAAAAATCATATGATTTCATTCATATATGGAATACAGCGAAACAAAACAAAGGAAAGACAAAACTATACTAAAACAAACCACAAAAATCTGACTGAAGAATTTTGCTTACTATATAAGGTGGGCTAGGGTAGAGAACAAAGAGATGAGAAGACCCAATGGAATACAGTGAAAGACTGTAATGCCTTTGTGGTTAGTGGAGTGTTGCAATATACATATGAAGGAGTATGAATCTATACTTCTGAATCATATACAATGTTGTATACAAAGGTTACCTCAATAAAAAGCAATAAATTTCAAAAGTAGTGGGCTTTTGTAATATATTCAAAAGTTATGAGTTTCTTTGTTTAACCTTAAGAAGACTATAGTTTTTCAGTGGTAGTAGGACTAAACATGTCATATTATAATACTATTATTAACAATACTAAAATTGTCATAGACAGTTTCCTTAGACCCAGACTAGTTTGCAAAAATTGTAGTCATTTTCTTCAATTATTCTGTTTCTTCTGGAAAATAGATAACTCTGTGTGTAACAGGTCGAGTACCTCCCTCCCAAAGTTAATAATAACCTCTAATGAATGCATATGTGACATCTTATAAAATGTTTTTTGTGCATAAGCATATCTATTGGTGTCTTCACCTTGCTCAAGCTAAAAATGCAAAGTTATAATGTGGAAACAATCTTTTAAATTTTTTTTTATATTTTAACTAAAACAATGCTTCTTGATAGAAGAAAACAGTTTCTCCCCATCAAATAATATAAATAGGAAATGAAAAAGACTAAGCATTTCTGCTATTGCTATCTGTATTATCTCTGATCTGCAATAACTCTACATAGCAACTTATATTTTTCCAAATATACAATGATCAGTTTGTATTTCAGAAAAGTGAAATGGAACAATCCACATATAGAAAAAAGTTGAGAATAAAATTTTAAGTTTATTTTAAAGTATTGATTTTATTTTGTTAAAGCATATAATAATATATGAAGTATATTGGGAAAATATAACATTGGAAAAAAATTGGAAAAAAATCAAAAAGGTTTTCCATGTGCCATGTGTTATACCAAATTACTTCAATTTGTATTTCCACCATCACATCTACTGTTGCTAATTTCTGTTTATTTGACATTAAACTTCAATTTAAAGTGTTTCCATTATAAATGTACTTCTCCTCTCACTTTTATCACTTCCAATTTACAAAAGTAAGAAATTAAAAACCTTGATGATTAGTCTCAATCCTCTTTGAATATTTAAACTCCATGGCTTATAAATCAGTTTCTGTAAGACAATGCTTTTTATTCTGTCAATTGTAAATATATTTTGTAGTGCAAGCAGAAGTTAAGGATATTACCTCAGCACTCAGACCGGCCAAGTCATTTTGCCCTCTATTCGGTATTCTCTGGACCATGACTTTATCAATGGTAATTATTGTTAAATAAAGGAACTTCACTTCAAATATCAAGGCTATACTGTCAATATTATCATATGTAAATTAATGTGTTATAAATGGTTACTTCTATTTAATGCATGAATAAATAGCAACTCATTTAGGATCCCTTTGAAAAAGAACTATATATAACTTTTGTAAGTCTGACACATCTGACAATAACTTTTTCTTTCATTTTTTCATCATTGCCATATGTGGTGTTCTGATTTTTGTCTATTACATTTCAGTAACTAAATTTTTATGGAGCAAGAAATTTGCAAAAAGCAAACCCTTTCTGGATCAAGTCCAGCAGAGCTTAACAAGTTTCCCAGAAAGGTGTCTTCTGTTAGATACTAACAAGGTAGCATTTCCCATTAGATATCCAAGTGAGAGATCATCCATAGAACCCAAGAGAATACCAATTTCCAAAGTTGCCTTTAACTTATTTTTTAAACAAATATATATTATTTTTAGGTCAAATAAAAATAATACATGTTCAGGGCCTCCCTGGTGGCACAAGGGGTTAAGCACTGTGATGCTATCCTCAGCCTCTGGAATTCAATCCCTGGCCACCCAGGAAGCTACCCACCTTGGGCAGCAGATCTCTCCTGTGTCTTGCCCTCTGCTCCCCTCAGCAGTATATTTCAGTCAGTCTGCCTGTTCTATGCCCCCTCTGTCTCTGGTGAATCCTCTCACTCCCCCGACATGCCTCTGGCCTGTACCCCAGTTCTTGCATGCATAAATAAATAAATCTTTAAAAAATAAACAATACATGTTCATTTAAAATAAAAGAAAGAGAAAGAGGGACAGCCATTATGAAAAATAGTAAAAAATCAATGAAACTACTGCTTTGATGGTCTTCACAACAAAATCCTAGGAAACCAAATTCAACAATACAATAAAGGTATCACACATCATGACCAAATGAGATTTATTCCTGAATGCAAGCTTGGTTAAATATCTGCAAATCATAAATGTAATAACCCACATCAACAAAAGAAAATTTAAAAGGCATGTGATCTTATGAGCAGATTCAGAGAGAACATTTGACAAAGTTCAAAATATATTCATGATAAAAGTTCTCAAAATACAGGTTAAAAGCAGTGTATCTGTACATAAAATGGTCATGTATGACAAATCCATAGCTAACATCATACTCAGTGATAAAAATTTGAAAGCTTTACTTGTAAGGTCAGATATAAGGTAAGTATGTCCACTTTCATCATTACTATTCAACATACTATTGGAAGTTTTCGTAGTTAGAGAAGTTAAAGAGAAAAATAAAAAAGGAATCTGAATTGGAAAAGAAGTAAAACTATCACTATTGACAGGTGACATCATGTACATTGAAAACCTTAAAGATTCCTCTGGAAAAATATTAAAGTCAATAAA